GGCATGAATGGAGGGATGCTCCATGAGAGGGTTAAGATTGACACCAAAACTGTTATGGATAAATGGATAACTACTTTGCCATGTGGCAATATGGTAAGGATAGTTTAGTTAATTTCTTACTTTTAATTGGCCAGATTGATTGCAAAGTTAAGTTAACAAAGCAGTTAGAGAAGGACAATAATTTACATTTTTGCATGTTTCACCAATTAAGAAGAGAAGAGAAGTTAACAGGTGTCTAGAAGAGAAACCTTATTCTTAATTTTATTCTCCAACCATATTTAAAGGACAAAGGTTGGCATTTAAAAATGTATAATCATACGGAGCATAAGAATGACAAGTGCGATAATGAACTAGAACGGCTCAAAACTAATGTTGCTTGACAATGAGTATGGCCGAGGATAAATAATAAATAATAATCACTTTATGAATGGTGAATACGTAAGAATAGATAAAAAAACCTTTTTTATGTTTTGTCTTTACCTTCGTGCATTCTCTCTAAAAAGGAGAGCTGATCAAGTAAGGAACTTGGGAATATAAACGGTTTTTAAGGAAAATACGACACTTTCTTGAGTTATGTCGACTTTTAGAGAGACTACTGGAACAAACACACACACAAGCGCAAGCCATCGGACAGGGTTTGCGTCGGCCCAAAATGCCACGGCCTTCCTGTACCTTGTTCAAAGGCAGCAAAAGTGGGCATGGAAGGTAGAAGGAACTGCTTGGACTCACCGTAAAACCAGCAGAGGGCAACACATTCGCAGAAGACAATGAAGAGTATGGAGATTTGAGCACCATGCCGGTCCAAGAGATCAAATACGAAATAGCCGCCCTATTGAAAGAGAGAATAAACATCCACATTATGCATCAATTTAGATAAAAAGTATGTCATCACAACTGGCCGATCAAATGGCAATTGGTTGCTTTTACGAGGTTACCTTGTCGAAAACTATTAAAAGTTTATGAGATATATTCACCCAATTTCGTTTAAGGTGATGAAGGACTGAAAACGTCAGCTCAACTCATGTCCTTGTGGGAAAATTCTTCTTATACCACTCCTTCATCACCTTAAACGAAATTGGGTGAATACATCTCATACTACTGATGTACTGTTAGTCAAAATAGCAAAATCAAGGTCAAACATTTTTTTATTCTGCTTGACGGAAGCAGCTCTTTGCGTCGGACTGTATTTCTATTATATTTATATATACACACAAACACACACACACATGTATATATATTCACACTATTTCCTTTAGGGTGTGAAGGACTAGTAGTTAAATTTACCTACAATGACATTTCCACTGGACTTAACAGGGCTTTGCGTTCCTCTAAGTGTACCCACCAAAATGATCAAGTTGCGACAGCAAGGTCAAACAACTTCTGTACAACGAAAGGAGACTGCGACCACACAAAAGGTCACACCATCTTGGTCTTCATTCCTTTGAATATATTATGCTTTGTTGAATGTCAATTGGCTCCAATTGTGATCGGACATCTGAATCCTTCCAAAAAGTATGTACATAATTTCGATCCCGCAATCTGGATGCGTGAAAGCGCATTTTATTGCGCGCATCGCTTCAGCACAAAATCTTTGTCAGTTGTGGAGGCTGTCGTGGTGAGAAGCCAGATTTGAGTCTCGAAGGTACTTTTAATTATCTATTTCTGCATATCTATCTGTCCATCCATACATCCATCAAGCAATCCATTTATCCATCACTCCATACTTTACAACAACGATCTATAAATCTATTCATCTATATTTCTGTTCATCTATCTATCCATTAATCTATCCATCTATTCAACCATCATTCAATCTATACATCTATCCACCTATATATTCACCCATCTATTCAACCATCTATTCATCCATATTTATATCCATCTATTTAACTAATCATCTATCCAGATATCTAAATATTCACATATTTTACTTATATATATATATTCTATTTATTTATACATCTATCTACTTATCTATCCTTACCTCCTTAATCCTGTCCAACAGCAACAAGAACTTTCTGCTTAATTTCAACCAATATGTAAGGTATTCACCCAATTTCGTTGAAGGTCATGAACTACTGGTATTAGAATTCACCCACAATAATATGAATAGCGCATAGCCTTGCTTTCACTAAAAGTTGTTCCCATCCGGGCACCAGTCGACTGCAGTTTCGACCTCGCATCAATTAGCTTTATGCACACGCTTAGCGAGAGTCGAACCGTGACAGTGCAGAATATGAGATTGACACTGCAGTCCAGCGTGGATGAGAACAACTTTTGGGAAAGCAAATCTTTGCGAAATTGAATGGAAACTTCAGCTCTACTCATCAGATTGTGGCAAAATTCTACTGCCAGTCCTTCATCAGCTTAAATGAAATTAGGTCAATACATCTCATACTACTGATATACTGATGGTCTCAAAACTCTACTTAAATACGAAAAATAATTTCAAACATGTATTCATTCGTTGGGAGGTAGAAGAAGAATTTCCCCACAATGACATCAGTTGAGCTGACGTTTCCATTCAATTTCACATTGTCTTACTTTCCCAGAAAGTTGTTCTCGTCCGGGTGGGATTGTCGATGAAGCAAGCATATATCTGTTATAACAATCGACTACTATAATTTATTTTTCGCATTAATTATTGTTTTCGTGACTACTAGTAAATCAGTAGTATGAGATGTATTCACACAATTTCATTTAACGTGATTAAGGAATGGTAGAAGAAGAATTTTCCACAATGATATGAGTTGAGCAATGTGAAATTCAATGAAAACGTCAGCTCAACTCATATCTTTGTGGGAAAATTCATCTTCTACCAGTCCTTCATCACCTCAAACGAAATTGTGAAATTACATCTCATATTAAATTTAGTTAAATTCAAAAATTGCGTCAGGTCCCAGCAAAATCTAGTAAAAGCAACAATAGCATTTGATCGTCTACAATTGATGCTGTAACCGGAGCCGTACAAACTGGCTCTTAGTTTAATCCTCACTTTTTCTATTCAGCCAAAAGTGAGTTTGTCCTAAATTCACATGCACCAATATTCAACTATACTCGGTGTGGAGACCAACTCATGTTTACATGCAACCCACAAAAAGCTTAAAGTATCTGGAAACATTCACCACTTTTCATTCACACAACTCACCGAAGTTGTTGTTGCTAGGCCACCCAAGAAGCAGTAAACAATGACGGCAAGGACGAGCAATTCACGATGCCGCCGCAAGCTCGGCCATTTGTCCAGGATGGCCGTAATCACCGCCTCTAGACCTCCGAACTGATAAAAACAGAATGCACAATGTCGAAAGCATTAAAAGAGTGGTCAAATGAAAATGACCTTTTGAAGGTGGACTCATGTGAACTGCAGACATACAAGCTGGTGGTCACTTGTTCCATCGTGAAAGCATTCAACTACATCATCTTAAATGACTAAATTTATTATTTAAAAATATACTACTGCCAACTACTGATATCAAAAAGCATGAATTTAATTGGCCTTCTTTATGCTCGAACCAAACACTTGGACATGACAACCATCACTATATTCAGAGACAACTAAAGATATATAATGTTGGGTGAAGCGATCTAGACTAGCCGAAGAGAGTGAGAGAAGTGAAAAAAATCCCCACTTCCAAGACGTTTAGGATGAGGAAGAAGAGGCAATACAAGTCTTTCATGTGAGCTTGCGATGGCCGGTCACTCTTAAAATGATTATCATCTTGGTTCTCTCTGCATCTGAAACCACGGTTGCATGCAAATTTTAAGAATACATATTTCCGGCTTTTCTTGCCATAAAATGGAGCTTTGAGAGGTTAGTAACTGGCCCCAAAGTAAAGTCTGG